TCCGAACGTTTCAGAAAACCGTCCGACGCGCCGGAATGATGCAATAAACGCGGGATTCGTGCCTGTCGACGATAGCGTCGCGCGTACGCCCGAAACGGCGTTCGTTTCGCGTCCCGCAGACTCGCGCGTTCCCGCCGAAAACCCATTGGCAATACAGCGACGGCCGCGCCATCGAATTCCGCCGCGAGACCGGGCAGTCCTCGAAATTCGTCCCGGTGTCGTCGAAAACGAAAACTCCCGACGACCGAAATATATCATTACCGAACGACGATCGTCGTCGTGGTGTCCGTTTAACCTCTGCGAGAACAACGCTATCGCAATACTAATAATATATCATATCCTGCCCGAAATGTTATCTTGAAACGCCGCGAATCGCACCCGAGTAAATAATGTTTTAGATAACCGCCCCGTACGCATTATTTTCTGCCGCCGCCGCCGTGCCGTCTATTAGGAGGTGTGCATTATGTTGCGGATTAATTTACACGGATCGCTTACGAAATAATACTGCGTCCGGCCCGTGTTCCGTCGCCCCGCGCTTCAGAACAACAATTTAGGCGGTCCTAAACTCGCATAGATCGCATTGATCCGAACACGGTGGCGGCCGACACACGTTAACGGTACTCAAAAATCGTAAAATACCGTAATACGATCGCTGGCAATTATCCAGCGTGAATCGTTTCGGTTGTCTCACAAAAAAAAACCGAAAACGAAGAACGTTTTCCCGTATTCCCGTGCCACGAATTCTCGAATAAACGAAACCCGAACGGTTCTAAAGAACGATCATAATAACCGAGTCGTTTTTTCCGGCGAGTTTACTTGGGATTTTCTCCGCTCTTTGGCAAAGTGTAAACGAAATTTTTTTTTCTTATTTAAATACCCGTCCCGACGTACTAATAACCGTAGATCCGAAATTTCGTAAGAAAGGTTCTACGCGAAGCTTTCGGTCGGAGCAAAAGTCTTCCGGTAAACGGCTAGACGGGGAAAAAAAAAGGAATAATAATTTTAAATGAAACCCGTAAAATGTTCGATACCGCTTAAAACAAAATTAATGAAAGTAGATACCAGCGATTGAGCATAAAACGCCCGTACGTGTCCCGCAGTCGTTTGTTTGGCTCGAAGTAATTTTGACGAAACTCCATCCGTGGTGTAGCAACGACGACCGCGACGTCTTTTCAACCGTCGGTCGTCCACGACCCTTTGATACGGTACGTTCCTTTTTGTTTCCGTCTTCAAACACGGTCTTCCGGCCAAACACCGGGACTTAAGCGTATTCTATTACGACATGTCCGGTCCCTAATTCGTCGTCTTCGTCGTTACGGGGAGTTGTAAACAAATCTCCGAACGGCTCACCGCACGCCGCCGCCCGCATTTCGAACCCTCAAAGTTAAACGACTATTTCATTTACGGGGTCGTATAACCGCGTTTTCGATACACATCCTCCGTCCTGCAGAATTATATCTTCGAATATTGCGCAGTGTGTAGTGATCGTGTGTCTGGCCGACGAAAAGCGCTAAACGAATGGACAGATTCTGAGCGGAACGGGTCGTGTATACGCTAAGTAAATATCGTTAAAACAATCAGATTTTCCGCCCGTCAGTTGACGATAATTTATTTAAAACATTTTTTTACAGATTCTCGCGTGGTTTAAAAAAAAAAGTTCTCGCGCTATTAAAATTTCAAACGTCAAACGCAATTAATTTTATTTTCGTTATTAAAGTACATAATACACAGTTATAAACTTGCATATTTATGGACGGAACATTAACCCTGAGTGCTGGGACGCGTGGTGATACCAAACGGATCAAGACAGATCAACTGAACGTAAACTGGGGTATGAGAGAAAACACTCTGTCCCAATGACAGCTAATTAAAACACCCCGTCTAGTTTGTTCCCCGGTATAATCCTCGGGCCACTGGCATGCGTTGTCATACTGCGTTTTCCATCGAAATGTACAAATCTGCATGGATAATGACAATATACATTCTATATTGTAAGTAAACTTGATACGGTGGAACGTCTATAGATCGAAAACCTTAAAAAGTCAAAAGAAAACCTATAGACAACTCGAACGTTCTGTGTTCCGAAATTAGACAGGTAATGACGGACGATTTTCATAATCGTTTGTCTAATCGATTCGCGCGTTCCATAATTTAACTTGATCGCGTTTATTGTGTTTATTATCGTATTTTTCATTCGGTTTATTATCGCTACTTTCGGTATAATCAGTATTACAATCGAAACGTGTACGATGTTGTGAACGTAAATATGCCTCGTTATTTTTTAATAATACAATTTTAAAAAATAATAACAATACACGCTGTGATAAAAAGTATACGTATGCTATATAATAATAATAAAAACTCTTAAAGTCGAATTTTTTTTTTGTAAAACCTTGATTACTCGAAAACCTCTATAAGCCAAAAATATTACATTTCCCTTGAATCTCGACTTATCAGAATTTCATACACATGTTTGTATAGCTTCCTTGGAGCTTTGTGATTTTTCTGAAAATAATTAAGTAGATAAAACGTTAGAAATCCAAAAAGTAAAATCAACAGAAAATATCATCACGGAAAGTAGTTTTTCATAAATTGATAACAATATCCCGGTTCTCAATTGATTAATATACAAAATATCATTGGAGTGAAAATATTTTTCCATCTGACCTACTCAATATGAGAGTATTTGTCGTTCTAAGAATATTTTTTCCTTATCAGGCGTACGTGGGAACAACTAATACCAGCTTTCTTTTGATGATTTTTTCTGGATACCCACTCTCTTGGTTTTTAATTTTCTGTGATTATACATACCGTTCATTTTATTATCAGGATATATATTTCCTGGATTCCTACATTTTGGAAATGTACTTTTTTGGCCGTTTGTTTTCTGGAACATAATACGCGTCCGCTTCCTTAACACGCGTGTGCACAATGATAATAAGTCAGTATTATTATATATAGTAGTGAATATTCCGCGATTAATTAATGAAATTAGTCTAATGAAGAATTCGAAAGTCGCGTCCGCCTAAATTAATAACAAAAATTCCTCGTGTTATGCAAAAACAAAAACTAAACAAAATGCACATTTTTCAAAGTAAATCTCGTCGGGCCTATCCTCCGCTTTAATATTTTGTATAATTTGCCGCCTTTGTAGGTTGATGACTCCCTCCCGACATCACGCCTCTTTCGAATTATCTCTTAAGTTATAATATTATTACTATTACCGTCACGTACTTATTTTAGTCGTATTATATTAGTCGCAACGAGAAACCTAACGCTTGAATAAAACCGCATCACAAAGTGTCCCTGTGTAGTGTATACACTCGTGCTTATATCCGCTGTATTTATAATCAGCGTCGCAGAGATAAGACGTTTTATTAAGTATTTATTACGCCGAAATCTTAAATAATTAATAATGTATACATTCGAGAGAAAGAAAAAACGAACATTCGTTGCCGGAGAAATTTTAGTAGTCCCGATACGCGCGGCGACGATGACGACGAGGGTTGAACGACGACGCATGTTTTATTTATAAGTTATTAAAAATAAAAAAATTATGATAATGCGCTTCAATTATTATTACACTGCGGCGAAATCCGTGAATAATCGTACGAAAAAATCTCGACTACCTACTACGTTTTATAATATGACTATAGCAAAAAAAAAAAAATCTCATTCACGAGAACATAAAATATCATTAAAATATATTGTCGTTAATAATGAAGCGATATAACATCAAACCGTGAGTTATTATGCGACGAGGACACGAACGTTGTTTTATTTGCTTCTGTGTCCTACTTTAAAATGTCTAATGTAAAATATTTAATGACGTACCTAAGTACGCCCACGTAATATTTAGAAAAAAAAAATAGTGATTTTCGGTTACGAAATTTCTGTATAAAAAAAAAAAAACCTTTTCACCACAAATACGATAAGTTTAGACACTAAGAGAGCTTTCATCAAAACTTCGGTACGGGTCGTGGCCGCGGCGATACGCAGCCGAAACGTGAACCGTTTTTAAAACTGAGAAAAGTGCAAAATTAAAGACTTTGAAATTCAGTACTAGAGAAGAGTTCTGAGAATCGCATGGACAACAAAAATAAGGAATACGAGGGTTTTTGGTAAAATAGACGCACAAAAGTCAATAATTATATTGTGGAAAACGCTTAGGAAAAGAAAAAACGAATGAATATTTAAGACGGAATAAAGATAATAATCAAGAGAAAACTTATTGATGGAAATACATCAGAATGTCACCGGAACAAATACATATGCAGAGCATAAAATTATCATAAGCGAGACAATGATACAAAAAAACACGCATCAATCATTTAATAAATCAATTCTAGGGCGTTTTGTACAATAATATAGAGAATTGATACTGCTTACTTGGAAATCGATTCGTGTATTTTTAGTCATGTTTCCCCTGGTGACCAAAACAAACTTGAAATCAACGAAAATTAACAACTAAAAAGAACCTTAGGCCCTAGAGAGTAAACTGCTAAAAATGTTGATAAATGTTTGAAATAAAGGTTCTACCAAGCAGACATTCTGCATCTTGTGCACTACGTGAAAAAACTATAATATTTGCCTAATCAAAAAAGTTAAAAAAAAAAATAAAAAATCCGCGCAGGCAATTTATTCCATGATTGCGAACCGTACGTCGTTACGGAGAAAATCTGAATTTCCATCAGATATTTCTATGTTTCTTTCCTTACGTTATGGTCTTTTCATATCCTGGACAGTTTAGTAATTACTGTCTTGGCCATTCTCAGTCTGCGTTTTTACTCCCTCCTCAGAACCACCTTCGTCTGATATGCGCGTTCCTAAGTAAATTACGTGCCTCACAAACAGTAGCATTGTCTGGAACGGCATCGCGTAGAACGGCCAAATTCGACACATAAACTCAAACGGCAAAATCCTGAACGATTTTCATTTTTGACATTTTACAGGAGAAACGAAACCGGGGTGATTTATTTGAAAAAACTTAAGCAAATCGATCGAGATTTTGCCGTAAACGATTACGTTACGGGTTTCGCCGTCCCAGATAATGTTGTGCGTGGTACACAACGCAAAGTTTTAATACTGTTATTTTATAATAATATTATTTAACAGTTAATTTTATTCGCGGTATACTTGCGGTCGTTATTATATACGTGTCGTTTACGTGTGGCGGAGAGAAGGAGGGCGGATAGAGATATTTTGCCGGTCGGTTTATCGCACGATATATTATCTCCGGTTTTTATTTACTTTTTTCGTTTTTTTTCTACCGTTCTACGGGTGCGAGGATAGTTTTTTCATTCGCGTTGCTCGGCGAAACATTAAAATTGCATTAACTCAAATTGGAAACGGCCATAAGTTTTAACTCGTGTACCCCCCCCCTCCCCCACACGACAACGGTTGTGTATTGTTTTTCAGCGGCGAAAATGTACAATATTATAATACGCCTATGGGCCTATGTACGCTACACACGTCACATCGCGTTTTACCGGTAACATTTCATTATTCATAATATTAAAATCTATTATTACACGTACTGTCGTATGTGTAATCGGGCGGGCTCGTGTCCCCGAAAATTACGGCGTTTCGGTACCTGCACGTACACTCGCGTTTCCGTGGCCCGTTTTGTGCGAATTCAGCGCGTTAAAATCGAATTATTACGACGACGATCGTTTTCGCCTTTTCTTTCGCGTCCTATTATATTTTTTATTCTACTCCCGGCGACATATCATCTCGTCGGCACGACGCGCGCGGTTTTTTTCTCTTTTTTTTTTTTACATATATATATATATATATATAGTTTTTATACATTTCGCCCCTTGCAATACAACGATATACGCGTACGCATATTATAACACCTACATTATACGTGTCGTCGTGACGTTTTCGCCGAACTCGATTTAAAACACGTAGGTATATAGGATCAGGGGTGTGGGGAGACACCGTACGTTGTATAGTCGTGTTTCGTACGCGATCGCGTCAAAAAAATAAATAATAATAATAACGCTCGTAATAAATACGAAAAAAAAAAAAATTATAATAATAATAATAAATAAATAACCGACGACTACTCTCTCTATACCTCTATAATATACGTACGCAAAGTACGCGACGACGAGATCGTTAAAAAAAAAAAAAAAAAAAAAAAAAAAAAACGTTTTAAAGTTTTCTAATTATCGGCGGTCCACGCTCTGCGTCTGTATATAATAAACACCGATCGCCGGTATACAATCGATTAAGACGCCGGTCGATAACGCCGCACCGAAGATTCGGTCCATGCGACGGAACCGTAACTGTGCGTATCGACGGTGCCCTAACCCGCGGGCCGCCTTGTACGCTCTATCGGTGGCGTCGCCCGAGGCAACGGAACCATTTGGGCGCACGGTTTTACGGTTCGAGAGTTCCTGAGCGAATTCTCGGACGACCGCCGCCGGACTCAATACGGGTTAACTCAACGGATACCACTAATGCGAACTGTACGACCGAAATAATCCTAGGGGGATGTATCCGTCAGAGGAGCGTAAAAAAGTTACAGAATATTCCGAAACACACCTATACGCTGTAGGTGTTCGGGTCCTACATGTCAATATTCTCATTTGACATTTTTAAGTCGTTTTTTTTTTTCATTTTGTTTTGTCTTGAATAGATATTGCATTGATAACTATCTCTTTTTTGATCGCCGTGTCTCGTTTTCCCGACGAACTTCGAACGGGACGCCTTTTTTCCTTTTTTCAGAAGGTCCCCCTTTTAATCCCGTTATTTCCGTAATATCGTATGTGTGCAAACGAAAAAAACCCGTGTATGAAAAAAATACAATACGATATAACAACGTTCAAGAAAGATTAACATTAAGTTTTGAAAAATAATTAAAATAAAAGACTGACATACTTCGTACGTGTGTGCGGCCACTGTTTTATGTGAGATATTGGGAAGGTAGGATACAGACGGGAATTCAATGTATATCTGTTAAAGCAGCGATAAACCATTGGTTACGAAAAAACCATTCTGAGCAGAGTTAAGTCGATAGTATTACGCTATCAACAATATATATGCCATATTATGGTAAAACAAGTACAACAATGTGCGTTTCCAAGTCACAATGTCACATTCCGGTCGATTTTTGGTTTCTGATTTGACATTCCGAATGTGGATGAAGATAATCATTTCGATGAGTATAATCATGTATGATATTGTCAACAATGTAACAAACGACAAATCGTTGACAAACTTTTGGCAGAGTATTATCAAGTAATGTCTGGAACTAATGCAATAAGTAGAAAGAATATTTTCTATCAAAAATTCCTTGTGGACAGATAGAATTAATCATATTTTTATACCTATTTATATTATCAACAAATTTATGAATCTAAACAATATTTCTTTAATGATATGATATTTTTTACACAATCAAAATGATTACTTATTTGCGCAATTAATTTAAAAAAAAAAAAAAGATTATAATATAAAGAGGAAAAACGATGAACATTCGAAATCAACCCAACAAAGATAAAAATATTTTGATAATTTTTTCAAACTCACGATAAAATGGAATACATATATTCAAATACAATTTTTTCTCACATATTAAATTGTTTATGTTAATTATCAATTTTAAAACCACTAAAGAAACCACAAAAAAAAAAAATACCTTATTAAAATACCATTTGTATACCGAATCACATAGAACTTTAGGCTGCTGAGAAAAGTGTTAAATACACGAAAATAAAAATTAAAAAATAAATCCCATCAAATTCGTATAAAACTATAGGTATTTAAGTTTTAAATGATAGTTTTTATTGGTTAAAAGTTGAAAAATCTTAAAATAGTCAGTACACATTATAAAGAAATTTTACAGAAAATTTCAATTGCGTGTATAAAGTCATTAAAATTATTTTTTTTTTAAATTTCAATTTACAATTCAAATAGATACTAATGTACTGTATACGAACGATTGTTATAAACTTTTGAAATGCTCGTGCCATCTTCGTCGTTTCGAAGCACATTATAATACAAACTATATAATATTCTTTTATATCTTTGAACGGAAAAAAACCCATTAGAAAATACTAAACGATTTCGTTTTTACTGTGATATAATTTTTATGAAATTCAAAATAATGTAAATAACCGAATAAGCCAGAACAGCATATTATTGTTATTTGTCGAAAAATTGATAAGGAACCAGGCACAATAATTCGTTATTATCAACCGTTCCCTCTGGAAATATCACAATAGATTCTGCAGTGCATTATGGTTTATTGCGTATTATCACCGCGATTTCCGTTTTAAAACGTGAACCACCCGACATGACATATTCCATTTACTCAACACCTTTATTTCTATCCGAAGTGGTTTTTAAATACGACTGAAGGTTTAAAGTTTTCACTAGGGACACTGTGACTTCCTGGGTACCGTATTAGCTTTGGACGTGACGTATTTTGTTTTTTAACGTTGGTGTTTACACTGGGCGTTGTATTCAAAATTACCCTATAATTTGTTTGACAACTGGGTACGACTGATACACCCTGAAAAAATCGAATGTATCGTGTACATAATTTTAATTAAAACGTAACATTTGGAAAACAATTGTATTGTATTCGTATTTTAAAATATTCAATTAGTAGCCGAAACAATATTCATTATATCGCTGGTTCTTCAAAATATTTTTTTTTTTTTTTTATTTGTTCGGATATTTTATTCTTCTCCGTTTTACTGCAATATTTATGAAACCTGACCTATATTTTTCTTAATATAGTCGATAAATATAAAACAAAAAACAAAAAATACGTTTTGAATATTATTTCCTTCGAATCGTAAGTATACACAATAATAATATATATATATATATATATATATAGGTACTATTGTTATAAAACATGCTTTTAGGTTTTTGATTTATAAATATACATTTTTTTTTTTCCCCATAAAAATATGCATAACATTTTATGAAATTTGCTTATGTTTCACTTGTATGTACAATTTAAAAATGCATTAAAACCGTTAACGAGTACTTACCCTGGAGTAATTTCAATAATATCGCTTACCTCGATTTTTTTAAATGTTCGGGTACAGGTTGATTCTTTCATCACGAACCAGCGATTATTACGACGATTTTGAAATAAAATTATCGTGGTTTTTTTCAGTTATTTTATAGGACAGTACAACATGTTCATTTACAATATTCCCGAAATTGTATCCTTACATCACACCATAAAAAAATATCCATTGTAGACATTTTATTTTCAAACTCTATCAACCTTTCACATCATATTCGAAAAGAGAATAATCGTCAAACAATTCCGTTCTGGATAACATTAATATTGGAATAACCGTTTATGAGTTATACCAGTTTAACAAATAGACCGGAGGAGTATAACGAAGGGTTATCGTCTAAAAACTAATATAAAATATATAAACCATTATTCTACTCTTCGAGTCTAAATTTTAAACTATTATTACTCATGAACGGTTATATTTATTATAAACAGATCATTTTTTTTTTTTTTTTTTTATGTAGGTATGTACACGTTTTAAAACTGTTGTGTGAAATAAAACTTGAACAGTTCCATGAAGATTAAAAGTGTCAAATTCACTTTAAATCCATCCAGAATATTATGTTTATCGTGATCCAACGGTCATATTAAAAAAAAAAAAAAATTACTCTGATATCCGAAAACTGCGAATGTGGTTTACGAACTGTTACCCGACAACTGCGTCTTTATTAAAGTTTAACCGCGGTATACAAACACCACCACCACGCGGTATTAAATAATAATTTAATTACTTACGCGCCCTCGGAAAATGATGATACATAATATTATGTCAAATGAGGCTTTATTGAATTTGTCGAGCGGTTCGATGTGCAAATGACGTGCGTTTCGGTTGTTTTCGCAGCGAGCGCTCGTCGCGCGAAACAACTTTTTGACAAAATCCACTAGACTGTGGCGTTATTATTCCGATAAATATTACGCGAGCGGCAACAGGGGAGGAACGTTGAAAATACGTCCAATAATAATAATACTATTATTATTATTTAGGTGTGGGTGGTCGTGAATTTGCAGTCGTGTCCCGGCCGGATTAATTTTCCCACACACAAACATAAAAAAAAAAAAAAATCAACGTATAAATGGTATTCCGTCAGAAAACAGAAAAAAGTTTTACTTCGCGTCTACTGCCGCCTCGACCTCTACCCCTCCCCGTCCGCGTAAGTATTGTAGTCGAATCTTTGTCCGCGCGACGACAAAAGGTCGGAAAACTCGCGTTTTCCGTTATAGGTATACCAGGCGGGTAGGTCATTGCGAGAGTTTAATTAAAGTAGCAATTTTTAATCTAAACACTTATTGCGAGCGAAATAATTCTCGACAGAAGCGTACTCTATAGGTATTATATCCGCAACGAAAACAACGCGCAGTTCCCGTTAAATTCTTCAAGACGTAAATACGCGCGCGTGTCAGTTTAAAAAGACACGAATATACTGACGATTTTTACTAATCACAAGGTACCTATATAACATAGCGTACTTTTTGAACAACGTCAATTTAATTAATACTCGTTCTATTTAAAAAGTCGCGTTCAATGATGTTTACGTAAATTTGTTTCGGTTCAACACAAACTGCACTTTTCGCGATTAAAATATTCGAATATTATCGCGTCTCGTTCCGCGAACTATATTTACTTTACGTCATCGCTGCTGCGACTCTGTTATATTATAGATGGTATACCATAAAATTATGATCACCAATGATTTGTATCGTTTATTTAATATGATTGAAGGATTAAGGTCATTTAATGGATAAAGGCGTTAACTGACATTTTTCATTGAAATCGATTGTATTTCACAAATCCACCCGTTTTAACGTATTATAGAGATACGTATACGACATCTCAATATTGGTAAAAGTGTTTTGTTGCAATAATTTGTAGGTTTTTTTTATAGATATATAGTATGTCAACATCGATTACTATTATTTGTCGTTCTTCTCCGATAACCTCAAAGACGTTATAGTAATTTTCCCTTTTTAAGTCGTATAATTGTCCACTTGTTGGTTTAATCCATCTTTATCCGTCGGCCGTTTCAATTATTATAACGGAGCCTCAATGTTAAAATAAACTATATAACAATGTCCACATTATCGGTACCCTAACTATACCGCACTCTGCCTAGCTTGGCAAGGACGGTCGAAAAAATAATAATTTTGTTCTTTGGACAACTATTAGGTAGAAAAAAATATAATAATTAATAACGTGAAAATTCGATGGAATTTACTTTGAAATTTAAAACAAACAATAAAATAAAAAAAAAACCCCATCACTTAATTAATAATAATTAATGCAAAAACAAAATGCAGCGTTTCAACGGAATGTCAAAATCAACATTGTAAAAATGTGTAATTAATACCTATAATGTATAACTTTTGACAAAATCGATAATAACTGTACCACTCGAGTTGAAAATTAATATTTAAAAATCTTAATTATATAAATACACAGGTGTATCAAT